AAGGAACATAAAAATGCTCTAAAAAATAAAGACTATTTTTTTAAAAATCGTTATGACCTTGGATTATGCAAAGCCATTTTAAATTATCTCAAAAGGACAAGCAACAAAAGAAAAAAATAAATTGAACATCAAAATTAAAAATTTGTTTCAAAGGCTATCATCAATGAAATACAAACACATCCCACAAAATGGGAAAAAATATTTGAAAGTCATGTATCTGTTAAGGGGTTTGTTTTACATGTTGCTAACGCATAAAGAAGTCTTACAACTCAAAAATTTTATAAAGACAAACAACCCAATTAAAAAATGGGCAAAGGATTTGAGCAGACATTTCTCCAAAGAAGATACACAAATAGCCCGTAACCACATAAAAAGATGTTTACTAGGTTAACCTTCAGGGTGATGCGAATCAGAACCAGTACAATACGATTTCATGTGAACTGGGCTGGCCTGGTCACACACAGAGAGACAGGATGCGCCGAGTTGAAACTCCATGTACTGCTGAGGGGTGTGAAATGGGTCAACCACTCTGGAAAACAGCTTGGCAGGTCCTCGAAAAGTTACATAGAGCTTTCTTATGGTCCAGCAACTGCACTCCTGGGTACAGCCAAGAGAAATGAAAACGTGAGTCCACACGAACACACGAGTGCTCATGGGAGCGTTGTCATAAGAGCCCAAAAGTTGAAACAACCCAACTGTCAATCAGGAGATGAATGGACAAATAAGAGCATGGTGCATCCTTACCACAGACTGTTATGTGGCCAGACCAGGGATGATGTGCTGGTACCCGCCATGACACAGACCGCCTTGAGGACGTCAGGCGTGAAAGAAGCCGAGCACGGATGGCCACACAGTAATGTGGCACTATCCACGTGAGATGTCCAGCACTGCTGAGATAGAGTGACAGTGACGGCTGCACTGAAAACTACTGGAGTGGACACTTTAGGTGTCTGGATGATACAGTGTGTGAAATACACCCCAACAATGCTGTTACAACACCCTGCAACGTGAGCCACCCTGAGGCAGGGCGCAAAGGGCTTCACACAGACATTTTCTCTAAGGAGCTCAATTTTTAAATATTTAAAAGAAAACTTTTAAAATAATTGGAATGGATCCTTCATAGAACATCTAAAATCATTCATTCCTAAGAACTTAAACCTAAGTTATTTCTGGTAAAACTTAGAATAGCGGGACAAAGGGCACGGAAGTCACCTGGCAGGATCTAAAGTGGGAACAACTTGGGCATCAAAGGAAATAATAATAGCAATAGAGAATAATCCATTCAACAGAAGTAGAGTCCCTCAGCCACTACTGATACAAATGAATAAATACATAACAGAGGGAGAAAAAAGCTCTTCCTATGGCAGAATGCAGCAAATAAACAAAAGGAAACGCTGGACAAAAAAGCCACCACTTTGCAACTATCATGATAATAACCGACTCGAGCGAGAACCACCAATGGATGCTAAAACTAATGGCTGAAACTTTTTGGAAGATCAGGATATTTATGTACTCTTCAAGTATAATTCCTTACAACTGTAAAAAGAAACAGCAACTTTAGCTGGAAACACTCAGCAGACCCCATCTTCACCGGGTGGTCAGCATGAAGGCTCCCTCCATGTCCGGCTGACACCACGTGCCTCCTGCTGTACAGCACTGACGAGGACACATGTCACCACTATGGTATTCCTACAAAACGGGAGTAATGTGAATCTAATCACAAAGAAACATCAAACAGACCCAAATTTGGGGACATTTTAAAAGGAACTGATTTATACACTTGAAATATGTCAAATTCATGAAAGACAAAGAAAAGCTGAGTAACAGTTCCAGACATAGACGACTTAGGACAACTAAGTCCAACATACTGAAAGTAGCTACAAAGGCTATTGGGCCAACTGACAAAACTTGAATATGGGCTATAGATCAGATAATACTGTATCAACACTAAATTTCTTAATTTTGAAAACTGTACTATAGTTTTGTAAGACGTTCTGAGAACCACAGCGCAATTTCAAAATTCTTGATCACAGGAAAACATACAGGGAAATATTCAGAAGTAAATGGGTCTAATGTCTGCAACTGCTCTCAAATGGTTCAGCAAGAAGAGTGCAATTAAATATATACATACAAGTATGCAAATAATACATGTACATGTGTGCAGACATGTGTGCAGGGAAAGAAAAATAAATGGGACAAAATGTGAATCTTGGTAAGGGCACATGGCAATTCTTTGAACTGCTCTTGTATTTCTGTGTGTTTAAAATGGTATCAAAATAAAAAGATCCAAAAAAATTACAAAAACTATGAATAAGAATTGACATTAATTTAACACAGCCTCATCTAACATGATGCCATTCTAAATGATCAAATATATTTGATACAAAATACACATTTTATAAGGTCTACTTGCTATTCATCTATCCCAGGGATCGGCAAATTGCGGCTCGCAAGCCACATTAGGCTCTTTAGGTATATTCCGTCTCAAAAGTTTGCCGACCCCTAGAAGCGCCAATCCTGTCCCTCACAACAATTTAAAAATTATTCGAGCCATAAATATATCTTTACATAATCACCATTATGTGAATATCCTTTAAAATTTTATAAATGAAACTATGATAGTTTTATTTTCATTTTCAATTTTACTTCAGGGCCACATGTACGTACCCAAAGAGCTGCATGTGGCTCGCGAGCTGCAGTTTGCTGACCCCTGGCGGCTCTTCCATCTCAACTGTTTGCCGATCCCTGATCTATCAAAAACCCATCACCTTAATATATCTTAACTAAGTAAAATATCATCATTAGACCCTCTTCAAGGTATAAAGCTAAATAATTATTCGATTCCTGCCACACTGATTGAATAGATCTCAAGTAATTGCCAAAATAAGAAATGTCAGAATTGGGATTTTTGAGACTAATTTCCTTAATTAGCCCTGAAAATGAGGCTTAGTTTAATTCCACTGCCATGTTCGTTCCACATAAGGATGTGTAGTTCGGTGACCCAACAAACAGCTGCTACACAACCCTATGGTCACACAGGAACTCATGTGTCCACCATGAAGCAGAATATCTGCAAGTCAAGGTCAAGAACTATTTTTCTTTAAACACTGAGTTATTTCCTTTGGCAACACTGTAGCTGTGCTCATCATTCTGAGATGACAAGTTTTCCAAAGGTTTATCTAAATACTTTGTAGAAATATTTTATGAGTGTGTATCTTTAAACAAACTTTGTTTCGACACTCCCAGAGCACTGTTTCCATTTACAAAATAGTCAGTTCAGCCAAGTACATTTTCCCCTAAAACAGACATTAAAATTGGCTACAATATAAGCAGTGTGACTTTTGATTTTCTCTCTATATATAATTCATGTTTTGATAGCTCCCATATGGCCTGCTGCTTTTGAAATCTGTCTCAAAGATTTCAACATCTTTTTTTTTAACTAACAAAAACTAGACCAAAAATTATATTGCAACACTCAAAGAGGAAATTTATTTTTTGAAGCACACCTAAGAAAACATGTGCCTAACAAAAAAAAAAAAAAAAGCATACATACATATATACATATATATATATATATGTGTATGTATGTATATATATTGAAGATACAAAACTGATTGTTAGAGGCAAACTTAGAGAAGAGGTATAAAAGGAGAAAGTGATTGGCCTCGGGTAAGCTTTGCCCCACAAAGCAGCAGTTCACCATGACAAGAGAACTCGGGGTTTGAGTCAGAGACTCACCATCTATCCAGTATTTTAGTTAGGTTTCTATTACATGAATGTATTAACTTGAAGACAGAAGAAAAAGTTACATGCCGCCCCCTTAAAATCCCACAATTGAACCAGCCACAAATGATTTGCTCATTTCTACGCACGTGAAAACAGCAGCTCCTGGCCCTGTTGGAATAAAGATGAGTTCCCTCCTAAATCTCTGGGACGGCTAAAGAGCTATTTCCTTATCGTCTTGTTTTAAAACTAAACAAACTCCCCCACTCCAGGCCACCAAGGAAGGGCTGATTATAGACATCTCAAACAGAATAAATTCACTTTAATTTCCTGTACCCTGAGGAGTATGTCAGATCAAGAACAAGAGAATACGCAGGTAGCTAGCTGATGTATTTCTTTACTCAAGGAGACTAGTAAGAGCTCAACAAATAGTAGGTAACTCCTGAGTGTTTCAAATTGTTGTTTCATCGATTTAATCTAACAATCCGCATCCCATTCTACATCTGGAAAACTGAGACCCAGAGATTAAGGGATACGCCTAGGATCCTGAGACCTGTACCTAGACACATGACACAACGTGACACAAATGGGCCATCACGATGTAGTGCTGCGTTCAGTCTATCAACGGGCAGCCAAGATCCTAGGAGAGCAAATCATGAACTGTAAGGAGCTGCTTTCTAAAACACAAGTTTCTCCACTGCAGCCACTGCTAGAAAAGCAGGTATTTGTAGCTATAATATAACCCATTTGAATTCTTCTGTATTACTAATAATATGCTAGAAACAAAATTTTCGTATTTTTATTTCACACTTTTTATTTCGTACTACCTAGTTGCTGACACTTGAACATATTGTCATCCATGAAGAGCAAGACAGTCAGGGGATGCCAGACTGGCCTTGAGGAAAGGCAGTCCAGAAATCCAAGTATTTCCACTACCAGGAGAGCGCAATCCAGCAGCTGATGGGAATGCACGCCACACACCTGTCCTCCTTCCTAAGGACTGCGGGTGTTCCTCAGTGAGCCATTCCCACGACAGGCTCCCCCGCCTCCCCATCCCCCGTGTTTCCATTCACCCAGCCCTCCCCTACAAAGTACTGTGCAATTTTAAATCTTCTAAGTAGCCCATGGTGCTGTCTTATAATAGAAGTTAAATTCCATTTCCAAGAGACTTATTTTCTTTCAATAATGTTTTACAAACCTCAAAGATAAAGTACTTTAAGCTATAATTAAGTCATTATGAATATTACCACAGATGCTATTCAGTTGTCAAAGGATATAATTTGGAGGAAGAAAGTTCCAGCTGAGGACCTGGTTGGCAAGCGCGAGGTATCGCTGAAATACCGATGACATCTGAGCGCTGAGGTTGTCCCGCCTGCTGAACTCCTGCAGGACCCCAACCGTGAGCAAGAAGATCTGACGAAGGTCTTCCTCCTGCAGGAAGAAGACCACAGAAACTTCTGGATCAAAAGCTTGTTCAAAATGTGTTATTTTTTAGAACCATAAAACAAAACAACAAGCACCTTAACACTTCCAAACACTACTTCTTCAGGAAACTTTTCCATTTTCAGGCCTGCTCATAATGACATCACAGGGAGCTTTCGAGAGGCATTGCTTTGAACACATTCACTGTAACAGAAACGCCACTCGTGGAGAAGACTGACGACTACACAGAGTTGGAGGGCTCAGTTGCTTTAGTGCAGGGCCCTGGGATTTAAGCCAGTGCCTTCACATAACTTCACTTCAGAGCCAAACAATACATACGAGACAAAGAGCCCACACCATCTGCAATAACACTGAAATACACAGCCCTCGTGGGCATGCTGCCAGGCCTATTTTTAAGGCCAGCAGAGTCCCACCAATTGAAGTGTTACATCTAAACATGGTAAGAACAAAATAAATAAACTAAGGATCTTGAGAGTAGTATTTCCTTTTTGTTTTGCTTGAAGACTAGAATTAAACAAGTAATCTTAAAAATTGTCAACTATGTTCACAGAACCTGTCGCTTTATTTCCTATGAAATTCCAGCAGAGATCTTCAGGAGGGGTATCATTGGACCAGATAAAGTAACTGTCCTCACTGCCTCAGGGAGAGATTGTAGAAAAAGTGAACCATAAAATACTTAAAGCACAAGAACAAAAATGCCAATACCTGAAAAACTCTTTTGCAGTTACCATGGAATTCCATACTCAGTCCAATATTGCTAGTTTTACTTGAACTTGAGAATTCACTCAATAGTGCCGTTAGAATAGAACACGCCAGAGTTTGCTATAATTATTGGAGAAGAAATAATTGTGAGGCATTATTTTTTCCAATGCTTTGTTTCAATACCACATTTGTTTCTAACATAATGAAACAGTTTCAATCGTTAGACCTCATACCTATCAGTCAAAAAATCAGACATGACAAAATAACAATCGGCTCTCCTTTCTAAGTGGCCCAGTAATTGTTAACGGCACTTTCTCCATGCCAGTTACCCAAATCCATCTAAGCCTTGAACTCAGGACATACTCCAAACGTAATCATGGAGTGCAAATGGTATTTGAAGGTAATCAGTGTTGAATGTCTGATCTCATTTAATTCACATCCCCACCTGACTGAAAGAGGTGAGCGTCAGAGGCCTGAAGTACTCAAGGCCAGCAGAGATGAACCCAGGTCTGTCTGACTCTATGTTCTGATAACTGTAAAATGTATTTCTAAACAGATGAAAGGTGAAAGAGTTTACAGTCTCTAAAATACTATGCAGGTAATACGCAAACGTTTTTTCAACTGAAAATGAAGTTTCCTTCTCAATGGTTCTCGCCAGCAGGCTCCTAACACCAACCCTTTTGCTTTATTCACAGACCGTTTAGAGTCAAGGTGCCAGGATGGAGGGGTACAAATTATTCTGGCCCGTTTCCAGGGGTTAAACAGAAATCTGCTCACTACCTCTGCACAACCAAAGATTAAAGTCAAGATGATACTATTTATGCGAGCTTATACAACAGCTGAACAGTCATCCCACCCACCAACTGCCACATCTTTGTTTGGAAATGCTTCTGATGTCAGTACCTTGACCTTACAGATGCTTATCTTGGCAAATCTTAGCCAATATACATAAAATTAAATTCCTAAAGATTGGCATGAGTTGTTGGTATTTGTTGAAGTTGAATGATGATCACATGGGTGACCAATTTACTATCTGTCTATTTTTGCATATGTCTGAAATTTTCCTCTAAAAAAATGTAAGAATGAATTAAATCCCTACTTGCCTCTTCATCTCAACTAAAATAAGCATGCTGTATAGCTGATATTTATAGACGGCACACGAACACATACGTTAAGGGCAGTTTCTCAGCCTTTCCCTCCCCCGGAAGCCCCAACAGCAGAGGATACAGGAACACTGCTCAGGCACCTGGGGTTCACACCAGCTGCTTCAACAAGGATGGAAGTTCTCTGAGTGCGCCTGGCCTAGCTTAAACACACACACATTTTGCAATTTACCTCCAAATACACATTATTTTTTTTAATTGGGGAATTGGGGGAGGAGAACAGTGTTGGGGAATTGGGGAGGGGACCAGCCAAGTTGTTGTTCTTCAATCTTAGTTGAGGAGGGCGCCAGTCGCCATCTGGCTGCCCAAGGGCAGCTCATGGCCTCTAAGCTCAAGGTGCTATGCTACAATCTTAGTTGCGGGTGGGCATAGCCATCATCCCATGTGGGAGTCAAACCAGCAGCCTTGTTGTTAAGAGCGCACATTCTATCCACTGAGCCATCCAGGCAGCAGCTCAGCTCACGGTGCCAAGTTCAGTCTTAGTTGCAGACAGGTGTAGCCCACCACTGAACAGTCAGTCTTGTTGTTAGGAGCACGTGGTCTCACCAACTGAGCCATCCTGCCACCTGTTGGCAGCTCAGCTCGCGCACAGAGTCACTGGCCCATGTGGGAATTGAACCAGCGGCCCTGTTGCTCAGAGCTCACACTCTTAAGCTAACTCTTAACCAACTGAGCCACGCGGCTGGCCCCCAAATACATATTTTTAAATAAAACTGTCCCCTCCTACAAATCATCCAGAGAAGTGTTCAAGTTCAACTGCCTTTGCATGACCCAGGCACACAGAGGAAGACACTGGTCTTGGGAACCAGGCGCTAACAAGCCTCTTACAAGGCCACAGCTCCCTCTATTTCACAGTTGAAAGGGACTTCGGGAACTCATCAAGTTCAATCCCTTTATTTTTTCAGTTAACAAAAATGTAGTTAAAAATGGCTTACTTTTATGATCACAGTGCCAGCAACCAAAACTTCACAAATCTAGTTAAGTAACACTGTGATCGACTATGAACATAGTTTTTAAATACAGATAGGCTTTGGTGGGGAAAGTAGGTATTACATTCAAATGAGTAAGATTCAAAGGGAAAAGTTAACTCACAAGGAACTAACATGACATAAGATCCTGTGCTTCTGAAAACAATTTTTAGTACCCTCATTTTTATGTTTTTAGCCTTAGCTTTTCTCCTATTCTTTCTAAGTAAGACCTCACTGAATGGAATATTATGAACCCAGAAGTACCCATCAAACACAAACTTATTCTTACAAACAAATGACCTATGATAGTTTTGCACAAGTAATGTACAACTTGCCACCAATTGCTTTAGTGCCTAACTATATTCACCACAAAATGGCACGATTTTTAAACTATGACCATATTCAAACTTTTAGTAACACAACTCTAATTAATGATGGAAACAAAAGTACTCACAATAAACCTTTATTTTGGTGTGAAGTAAACATTTTCTAAGATTAAATGTATGTGTGTGTGGTCAAGACCCGAAGACACGAGTGAAGGTAAGGGCAGGAGGGATGAGAGGCAAGGGCCTTCCTGAGGTGACTGTGACTGCTGCTCAGAAAAGGGACAGGCTTTACAGCGTCTCCTTATACTACAAACTTCAGCAGACAAACAAGGAGCCCTCAGTGGAGTGGGATTGCTTTTGAGATGCAGCAGTAAAGACATCCCTGCAGAACAGCAGCCTTTCACAACAAGGAAGTGCTCATTTGCCCATAACAGAAAATACATTCTTAGCACACGATACTTTGCAACAAAATACATTCTTATTATAGACGTAGCTCTTTGAACATAAGAATATTTTGTTTTTAAAAACTTTTTCTTGGGCTGGCCAGCCGAATGGCTCAGCTGGTTAAGAGATGGCTTGGGAGCGTGAGCTCTGAGCAACAGGGCCGTCACGTGACGCTGCACCCTCTATAGCTAAGATTGTGAACAACAGCTCGACCTGGAGCTGGGCTGCCGTGAGTGGCCAGCGACAGTGTAGGCTGCAGTGGGGCTGCAGTGGGCTGCCATAAGCTACCGTGAGTGGCTGGCAGCGAGCGTGAACGGCCATCCAATGGCCGGCGACCAATCTGCCTCACCCGGGAAGAGCGGAATGATCATAATACCAACATGGACCAGTGAAGCGACGTCCTCCACAACTAGACTGAAGAACAAAAAGGACAGCAACTATCTGTTCCCCTTCCCCGATTCCCCAATTAAAAAACAAAAACAAAAAAAACTTTTCCTTTCTACAAAAATAATAACTATCTTTAAAAAAATTAGAAGGTACAGAAAAGCACAAAGGAAATCAAACTGCATAGTCCTACCATCAGAGACTATTACTGTAATATTTGTTCCCAGCTTCCCAATTTGTTAGCGTACCGGTGTCATTATCCACACACCGTTACCATCAACCCAAACGTATGTATTGCTTTGTCTTCTCCTTTGTCCACTCTACATTTACGAAATAAAAATGCACATTTTTTAAAGTAAGTGTATTCTCTTCAAATTTACCAAAGACTTAAGAGATACATAAAAATAAACTTGTGGCACGGTTAGAGGTATACCAGAAATCAAATATTCTGGTTTTAACGTACCTAGAATTACCAGCTCTCAAAGAACTAAATCAGTATGAGTTTTCATCATTAAAAGGTACCAAAGGTTTAGCTGCTCCTTACTGTGGGAGCCATGTGAGGACCTGAGATGAACCCCATAAGCATTAACTACACTACACTGCGGTGGCTCAAAGGTGCCAAATTAATAGAATTCCTGGAGAACAATGAATAATTTAGTGATTGCACATTAAGAGAGCCTAGCACCTCTGCACATATCTAGAGTCTCTCTCCCTCTCTGTAGAGGAGTTAAACACATGCAATGTGTCTAGGACCCATTTCCCAATATGTTCACTCATTTTCAGTATCTAATTATCAATTAAGCCTCATTAAACTGACGTTACTCTCTGGGAGGTGCACTGCATTACAAGGAAGGCAGCTGGCAGTGAGCCATAACTACAATTGTGAGAGAGACAAGAGGCCAGCTCCTTCTGGGGATAGGAAAAGAGGAGGGGAAGGCATCAGGTCTGCCTGAGAGAGCTCCAGCTTCTGCTCTTCTTACCCCAGACAAGGCTCCTGGGTGCTTGCTGTAGACTGTCAGGTCTCAGTGGTCACCCCAAGTGCATGACCTCTGACCCCCACCAACCAGTACCTTCAGGCACTGCCTTTGTGCCCCTTGTCACAGTCAGGGCAGACATCGTTTCTCTCCTAGGGGCAGTGACTCTGATGCTCAAGAGGGTCAGAAACTAGAGCTGCTATGAATAGTTCAGAGTGGTGAGTTTCAGTGAAATCACATCAAAGCGGACTGACTGATGCGCAGGGATCCGACTGGTATAAAGTACCATCAGGACGAGCCTGGGACTGACAGCAGTGCTTCGTTTGTCCACCATCATGAAGAACTAAGTTAACACCTGTTCACTTTCCACATGCAGTAAACGGTTTTCATGACATTGCCTTCATGTAAACATGCCCCAAGGAAAGCTTTCTAAGGCAGTCATTATGGGCATGCGACAGTGACACTGTAGCATGTGGGCTGCACACGCCTTCAAGCTCTCTGATCTGAGCTGCCCCCGTTTTCCTTGGGCGTCCGTGATCGGTGTCACACAGTGCTTAGCAGGGTGACTAGCACTAACAAGCCGTCCTAAATTGATAATTTTCATTTCCAATAAGTTAGAAACCAAGTAATAAAATTTTTTAAAACTCGGGCCAGCCGAGTGGCTCAGCTGGTTAAGAGCTCACTTGGGAGTGCCGGCTCTGAGCAGCAGGGCCGCGGTTCGGATCCCACATTGAGGGCCAGTGACGCTGCGCCCTCTACAGCTAAGATGATGAACAACAGCTCGACCTGGAGCTGGGCTGCTGGGAGTTGCCGGCGACGGCGTAGGATGCAGCAGGGTTGCAGTGGGCTGCTATGAGCTGC